GAACCCCGCAGCTGTGAGAGGAAGGGGTGTTACAGTACAGTGCAGGCTGCAGCTCCTTCCCCCACCAACATCCACTGCGGAACCAGAACATTCTGCTTCGGCTGCGCTTGCCTGATGCCCATCCGTGTCCCCGGCCCAGCCAGCACTGGCCGAGCAGATGTTACATGCTCGCTAAGGTAATTAAACAGAGCTCAGCCCTTGACTAAGCCTCTCTAACCGTGAACAGATGGGCTTTTCAGCTGTTCTGTGCATTTACTCGCTCTCCCCAAGAGTATGTAAATCAGAGGGAAACCATCGGAATGAGCCCTAGGCCTATGCAGCCTTGGGTCCAATTTGTTTCTATTTCAATTCATCGAATTCCAAACACATAATCCTGGACGGAGGCTCTCTCTCTCCCTCTGAGAGCAGCTCTTGAGTTTCTCGCCTTGAAGTGGAGCAGTTTGCAAAGCCGAGCAGAGAGAAGCATGAAAAGCTGCCTCTGCTTTGCCACACGTGGATTTACCGGGGTGTGAGCACCCTCACAGCTTGAGGTGTTTGTCAAACGGTGATGTGGCACCTCAGAAACATCCTGAGCAGTGTCTCTGTCCACCTGAAAGGCCACTGGGTGGACGTGGCACCAAGTTTCCACACACTCAATTGGTATTGGAGGAACTTTTGAATTAATACTTTTTTAATGGCGGCTTAGGAGCATGAGTGGATGAACTGTGTGTAGAATTATTGTTTGTTGCTGTTACGTGACATGGAGTCAGAAGAGACTCACAGGTGACCCTCCAGCAGGTGTCCAGAGGCTGTAAATCGCATGAGAAGGAACTGCCCATTCTTCTCCCGGGGAGCAGCTAGTGGATTAGAACCCTGTGTTAGCAACTCCACTCACCACTAGGCCGCCAGAGCTCTCTGTGTGTAGGATAGTATGTTAGAAATCAGGACGTGGTTACTGACAAGATCTGAGGCAACACAGGAATGGGACTGTGTTGGAGCGTCCTGGAGAAGTAACATAAAGTGGCTATTTCATGTCTGTATTGTTTTCACAAGAAGAAAAAATGATTTAAAAACACCACAACGCTGATACATGCTATACCACTAAATTTTAAAAAGGAGCAACTTTGGTGAAAGTTAACAGAGAAAATTAGTTTTCCAGTCAGCATGCATTTGATGACCTTAACTTCATTCCCTACAATGTTAACAGCACCTTTCCCTCTCCCT